CGGGCGTGGCATGTGGCGCCTCCTCGGGCGTGGCATGTGGCGCCTCCCCAGGTGGCTGCTGGGTCCTGCATGTTGGCAGCCCCCCCCCCCCCCCGGGATGTTTTTTACACACAAGTAGAGTTCATGTTTTACTTTAATACAGCGATAAATTTAACGTTCATTAATGACATGAACGACTCATTTAGTTTTATTGAAATTATGTTTAACGGGTTATATTTTGTAGTCATTTAATACTTTTATTTTTTATATTTGATCAGTTATCGATTGACTTTTATCCCACTGCAGTTACATCCCACAAGATCAACGCCTCAAACAGATAAAAACACGGTTTTGGTCTTCATGAAACCTACAAACACCTGAAACCTTCACAGAGAGACGTCTCGAGGGTTTGAGGAAACAAAACTTGAAGGTTAAGCAGTAACTCTGGACAAACAAACGTGTTTTACTTTAGTTTGTGTCCAAGAACTAAAGCACAGAAACAGCGAGGGTTCTGGTTGTGTTCAGAACATCTCGGCACAGGAACATGATGCGTTTAGTGGTTGTACGGATGAGGCTCCGGTTCTGACTGGTGACATCACCTTTTCAAACACCACCTCTGAGCCATCGGTAGAAATATGACAAATATTCAGGAAAAGGTTTCTCATCACCTTCATGCTTCCACCTGAAAGAACGAGTGAATCTTTAAACCAGAGTTTCACGTTTCTTCTCGTCTGTTTTAGCCGCGGGAAAAAGGCCGAATGCGTTTCCACAAGCTGCAGAACGTGCAGATCGCTCTGGACTTCCTCAAACACAGACAGGTCAGTGAGAAAGAAGAATGCACTTTGTTTATCTTCCTGTTTGTTGGAGTCGACGCTCAGCGACTGGTTCCTGTTTCAGGTCAAACTGGTGAACATCAGGAACGATGACATCGCAGATGGAAACCCCAAACTGACCCTGGGTCTGATCTGGACCATCATCCTGCACTTCCAGGTAACAAAGGAGCGGTAAATAAACATCAGGTTGATGAACAGAATAATCTCATGTTTTAGGTCACTGACTGGTGTAGAAATGACGCTACAACTGGTTTGTTCACATGATGATCACCTTCAACAGATGTGCAGTGAATAATTTACATGAATCTCCATGGAAATAAATGGGTGAACTGTTCAAACCAAAGCCCCCAGTGTACTCCCGCGTACGTACGTACACGTGTACTGTACGCAGAGGGTTCAGACTCCAGCGTCCACCCCGAGCAGCTGCAGAGCAGCTTCACAGACAAGGGGCGTTTACCTTCGGGACAAATTGAGGTCGCCGATTGGTCATTTGCTGACACGCCTACTGGATTGATTGACAGGTCGGAAGAAAAAAAAAAAGAGCGCTGGCAGCCTCAGCTGCAGCGGTGTTCTGTGTTTATATGTTGTTAATAAAAAGATCTAAAAAATAAAATAAAAACAGGGAGCGCTGGCCCTGCAGCCCACACATCAGACCAGCCCACCAGGAAATCTCCAGACCCTCCCGCATCCACGCTGGACCTGAGTTTAATTCGCTCGTGACAAATTCCTCCATTTCTCACCATTTCAGTCATGGCATCAACGGAGGAGGAAGAGATCACTGCCTCTTGGCAGAAAAACTAAAGAACAGGCCAGATCAGGGATGAAGAAGGGGATTTAATACATTGGTGTCACATACAAAACAATCCGTCACCGGGCAGGTTATTGTGCGACACCGCGTATGCGGTCGTAAAAATTGAGCTTTGCACGGACATGTCCTGGGTTGTACGCTCATACCTCCGCGTACGTATGTGCGTACCTCTGAGTATGGACGTACGCAGGAGTATACTGGGGGCTTTAGGCCCCACCCACACAACAAGAGGTTTTGGGAAGAGAGAACTTTTTTTTATTGTTTCTTCATTGCATCCACACAGAAACAGGTTTTTAGGAGGTATTTTAAAAAAATGGGTTACAAACTTTAAAAAAATCATCGAGTGGTAAACCTATAACCTATGATCCGAGGGTGTCCCCCACCTCTAATCCGAGGGTGTCCCCCACCACTAACCTATTATCCGAGGGTGTCCCCCACCACTAACCTATGATCCGAGGGTGTCCCCCACCTCTAACCTCTAATCCGAGGGTGTCCCC